TTCTTCCTAAAAAAAAAAAAAAAAAAAAAAAAAAAAAAAAAAAACCCTTCTGTTTGACCCTATCCAACAGCGCCAGTGACGGAGTGTTAACACAAAATATATAAATAAGTAAGTTACAGATAAATTATGATTATAAAAATAACTTTAAAAATTCATTCACACCAATTGCCATTAAATGTATTACACTTGTTCTTTTACTGATTTCTAGCTGCAAACTAAATTCATTTTCGATATTTGCTGCCAAGTAATACAAATAACGTTGTTTGTTTACACCGATGGTCTAGCTTATTGTTAAGATATTTAGAAAATTGAAACCTAATACATACTCATAACGCCCGACTTGGCGACAGAATTCCAAAACTGAACAGACCGATGTGATAAGTGATACTTTATTAATTTCTGAAAATTAGCGGCCCTGATTTTAGATATGAATAATTTTTCATTTGAACATAAACTAAATTAATTGCAGTCCCTACCTGCAACAATAAGTCGTACGACATATTGTTTAACATTACTTACTTTATATATTATACACTATTGTTTTAGCCTCTTTTACTGTAAGTTCACATACTTCATTACGGAAAAACTTTTTTCAAAACAAGTGCTACTAGGCTAAACCGGGACTGAGTACATTATTTGTTACAAACATATATACATTTTTTTAAAAAGACTTAATATACAATACTAACACTCTCTCTCACCCCTCCCCCTCCCCCTCTCTCCCTTTCCCTCTCCCCCTCCCCCTCTCTTTCTCTCCCCCTCTTCCTCTCTCCCTCTCCCTCTCTCCCTTGATTATATGTTATTGATTTGGAATCCCCTTCTTGCTCCTGCAACAACTTTTCTTGGACTAGCTTACCATGTAAGCACCTGTGTGCTGTAATTGAAAGCAAATCAGACACCTTTTCAATTTACTGGATGACTATTTAAATAGCCCGTATATAACATTAGACACACATCATTGCCTCTCCGTTCATGGAATGGAAATATTGAATGATAATGAGGAACAATGAAGCACGGCCCCAGAGGATTCTATTTGATGCTTGCCTGAAAATATTTGTGGAAATAAGCCTCACGAACAGAGAATAGTGGTATTGTGATATTGTGTGCTTTGTTAAAAACATTAGCAATGAGATAGCCTGAAACCATGATCAATCATAACAGAGAGTGTTTATGGGGGCTCAGAAAAGAGGGTGTTAGAAAATGTCTTATGTGTGGTCACTTGGAACGGAAGTGTAATAATGCAGTCCATTTAATGTATAAAGGATTGGATATTTTGTTACATATTAATGTGCAGCTTGTTATGTGCCCAGTGTGTAAGGATGCATGCCTGAAAACATTTGTGATAAGAAAATCGGCCTTAATTTGTGGTGACTTGGAAAAGAAGTGTGATGATGTGATTCATTAAATGTGTAAGAGAATTTTGTTGTGTACTAATGTTCAGTTAATAAGGGGAAACCATGTATTAAAAAATGCACCATGCTTTCTACCTCATAGGTGGTGTGGAAATGAATGCATTATTTTGAGGGTATGTATCATTCAACTTGCATTTCTGATCATGTCTTGTATTGACTCCTCTGTGCCTTTAGTTGGGACACACCCTTGCAAGTCTTTACTTTCATTTTTCCAGAACTAGAAGTGAGAGCATGTTCATTTCAAAATATTACCCAAGACCTGTGAATTTCCTTGCAGTTCCTGTTTTAATCAGGAAATTTGACTTCATTGTATTTATATTTTATATTAAAATAAAATGGGTTGATGTTATTGTTGTAACTGTTGAATATAAAGTTTGGAAGTTATAATAATATAACAATAATTTTGTATGAATATTACCCTATTTTGTTTTTCTTTACATTAATCTAGGTCCAAGACAATTGAATCTGTAACAGACAAATGATGGCTCCACAAGAAATTATTTTGCATTAGCTTGTCTGTTAAAAATAAAATTAACGCATTGTTTTCTTGAACTTTCTTGTTAACTTTGCTTGTTAATAAATCCTATTATTAAAGATTGTTAATCATTAATAAACAATTTGTTACATATAATTCGTAACAACATTATTCTTGCATTAGCTATTTTCTTTTGAATATGCAGCTCCATTTAGCGATTTGTATTTTGCAGGTTTTGTGACATCTTTGGTCACCATGCTCTACAGTTATTCACATGAAATTAATATTACTGAGAAACATCTATATATTTGTATACATGAAGAATAAAAGTTGATAATAAAAAATAACATTTTTCCTTCTTTCTTATCAAACAATCACTGTTAACAAAAAAACTCGCTTCCAACATTAATATCTTATCCCAAGTAGACATTACAATCATAGAAATATTTTGTATAATGCTCCAATCGCCATCTTCTATCTTCTCAACCAAAGCAATTCAAAGCAACAAATATATAAAGCAATGCAAAATTTTAAAGGATAAAAAAAACTTGCATCTTTTGCATGAAAATCATTGATTTTATGTGTTTTTCTCGCAAAATGCTTGCTAACGAGTACTTTTGATGGAAGAAAAAATGTAAATAAGGAAAAATGCATGCCGTTGGGGGAGGGAATGTAATTCGAACTTGTTTTGCTTCTGGACATAAATGTAGCTCTTCTATGTGTATGTTTTGTTAAACTCTTCTTTTGAGGTAGGAGTAGAGCTGGGGGTGAGTTTCTATTATGTTTGTAGCAACAAAATTAAAATGCAATACTACCAAAAGCCACATACTTTGAAATCTAATACACCTTTAAAATATTTACATAAACTCTTATGGTAATAAAAAAAAGTGATCTGATTGCTACCAACATAAATGCAATTTTAAATAGGAAGCCCCGATTTGGCTTGATGTGTAGAGACTTTCCTGGTGCACTGTACATTTGATTATATAACTTAGCTATTTAATATTTTGCTAAACCACATGATTAAGTGATGAAAAAGAGAAAAAGTGAACAGATGGAATGACCCAAAAGTTAAACTAAATAGTCTTTAACAATGAATTATTTACAGGCAAAATGGTTTCTTACAAAAATAAAAGATGCAACTAAGAATTTACTGATGTTGCAGAAGACTAAGAAATGAGGAAATATATAAACAAGAAAAAAATGAATCAAAATATTGACATACAATATGATCAATTTTTAGAGCAGGTAATGTTTCGTATATTTACATAACAAATTATCATAAGAATAAGAAAATTTGGTAATGACTTTTACTAGATATAACAAAATTAAAATAAAGATACAACAAAAAGTGAAAACTGGTATAAGTTTAAACAGAAGACAAATGGTCCAAATGATTCTCTATGAGATGACATGTTCCTAACAATGGAAGCAGAGGGCAGCATCTACTTACAGCGGGCAGCAAAGGTACTTCATAAAATAGCCCTAACATACAACATGGAAATTTCGACAAATAAAACTAAAGGTATGGCATTCCAAGGCGAAAAAAAAGAGGAGGGTTAAATTGTTGCAGAAGGAAAAATAATAGAACAAGTAGCAAAACATATGTATCTTGGTAGCAGATTTATTGATCAACTTTTGGAAAACTTTGATAAGTTTTTTGTACGTTATTCATTGTAATAATGTTTAAAAACTGCAAATTCCCTGCAATTTTCAATCATTAGGACATTGATCAAAATGCAGAAGATCAAGAAAATTCAAAAATGTAATGAGATAAATGGAATAATCAAGAAAAAACTTTGGAAGAGATACGACAGCAGAGACAAAACTAAGAATGCACCACAGAAATCTAAGCCAATGTTAATGTATGGATCAGAAATATGGACCTTAAAACAAAGTGACTGTCAGAAATTAGAAGCCACACAAATGAGTCTTTTCTGGCATCTGGTAGGAATTACATGTTTAGATCGACAAAGAAACACTGAAATCTAAAAAACCTCAGAATAAAAAATATGGTGAATGACATTAAAGGGAACCATTTTTTACATGTGTAAGAATGCAAGCGGAAAGATTTCCTGAAAGTTAAAGTAAACCCACAGGGTGAAGAAATATAGGAAGACCCAACAACAGATGGATTGATCAGGAATATCTGGTGGAATAATCACCAGATCTACTGTCTCAACAGTAACAAGCATCAAACCTACTAATCTGCTGTTCATGATGATGATGATGATGATGATGATGGAGAACAAAATTAATGACTGCATTAAAAGGCATTTAAAAATATGACCATACAAATGAAAATTAAATTATTACCAACAATGTTTGACAGTGAGACATGGCTACTAAAACAGAGACCAAGAATAGAAGCAGCTCAAATGGCAAGTGAGATGTTTGCACTCAGTTGTGATGTTTAGTAAATGTGAACAGAAGAAATAAAATTAGAATTCATCCATACATAAGAGAATAAAAACAAAGCACATACCATATTTTCGCAAAAATGGGCTTCCCTCATGTATAATCTCCCTCATATTTTTGATCAACATTTTGGAAAACGTCCGTAAGCTTTTTGAAAGTGATTCATTGTAATAATGTTTATAAAATGCAAATTCCCTGCAATTTTCAATCAGTAGATCCTAAGAAATTTGCAGCTGACATTTGTATTGCATTGTTTGAAAAATAAAAGACATTTCTTGAACAATTATTTCACTTCATTTCAAAGTACTCTCATATTTGTTGCAATTCTTTGTTGCCAATTTTGGGGAAAAAAAAGGGGGGCCTGTATTTGAGGAAACACAGTAGTTGAATTGGTTTAAGGCAGATACCAAAGAAAATGACAGAAACATGTTAACAATGCATTAGGCACATGAGTCCATGTTGCACTGGTAGGTGTAAGTGGGAGAGGGGGCACCCACCTATTAAAATGTACTTAAGAAAATGAAGTCAGACATGTACAACATAGATCTAAGCAATGGAGGGAGCATGGAAAATGCAGACCTAAACTCTATTGATGATTATTATTAGTTTATTATAGGTGCTATTTTGTTCATCATATTTAGTACATAGACAAAACTCCTATCCTGAATTACCCACTATTCTGAATTAAAAATCTTGGATTATCACAATATCTCTGCTGCCACTATGGAATTTGCTAAACAGAGAATTAAACAGAAACTTGTTAAATTTTCAGACACATCTTTATTTATAATACTGTGTACAGAGAACAAAATTTTACAAATTATCATGGCTTAATACAAATCTTTAAAAGTAATTCTAGAAGCTGAGTGATCTAAGTGTATATTAATACAGATATATTTCATACATTGTCAGTTTTTAATTAACTCATAACTTCAAATACTTAAAAACCTAATGACATGCAAAAAGTTTAAAAATGACGAAAGCTTTCTACAATGAAATATTCATTATTGTAGGGTTTGAAGTCATAGATTTACTCTGCACATTTATCTGAGAATTTAAAAAAAACAACTTAGAAATCATTAAATAACACTCTTTATGATCTTCATTGAAAAGATGTGCTTGTCCTAATGTATAATTTTAGCAACACCCATGCCATGGCTTGATTAATTCATTAAGATCTTTACAAATCATTATTCTATTTCACACTTTTTCATGTAATATAATATTTTAATCATATGCAACACAATAAGCTATTTCTATTAAGCAAGTAAAAGAAATGTATCTTTACTTTTCCTTTGAGACACTTGTGTTTGTACAAGTTGTCAGTAACTGTTACAAGTTGCAAGCTCTTATATAAGCAAACATTGCAATATATAAAAATGCAAGGGATTCGGTACAACCAAATCCTACTGCTTTTCAAAATATCTTTTATATTTCTTCCTTCAGATATCGTTTATTATTTTCAGACTCCATAACTTCACGGCAGAAGCCTTGTACGACAGCAATGCAGTACATGAGTATACCTGAAAAGGAAAAGAATTTAATATGATTTCATGATAATAATTAATAGCGGATATCATAAGTGCTCTGGAATTTACCTGAGAAAATCTAAAGCACATTATGTCATTACATGAATAACATGTCCTTATTTTTGCTCTAAGCACCCGACCAGTCTCTCGGCATGTGTGGAAGTGTTAGTATAAGTGTGTGATAGGGGGTGAGGATAGGACAAGGAAGAGGTAGAAAAGATCGCGCGCGGTCTGTGGTCCGTTTGTTAGGGTACTACTCCGGCATTCGCGTAGTATTGACCGGAGAAACCATGGAACACTACCAGCTGATCCGAGCAGCCGGCCGCTAGAATTCTCCTCCAGACAGCGGCTGAATTCGACCTAAGCTAATGTCGAAAATTCTGCCACCGTCGGGACTCGAACCTAGGGCCTCCTGGTCAGAGGTACTTCAGTGATATTAATTTGATGCTCTGAGTCATCTCTCACGGTCGGAATATCAAGTAAACGTGCGCGTAAAGTAATTGGACCAAACTATTATTAAAGAAGGACGGTTCACCTGCGAGGGTATTTATTATCGTTTTAACTACTGTATTCACGAACATATTTTTCATTTTCATAAATACTTTTCTAGATGGTATCGATCGCACTTTTGATTACACAGCTCACAGACACATTTTTCACTACGTTCATGGATTATTATTTTTTTTATTTTACCCAGACCAAAACTAATAGATCTTACCAATGACAACGGTAAAGTAGGCAAGCAGAGACCAAATGGCGCCTACGGGGACGCCGTGAACCATTGATATTATGAAGGTGATTACAGCAGCAGCGACAAGCAACGTAAACTCCACATACTGCGTGAAGAGCCAGAATTTCATAAATGATGGCCGTCTCTGTAAAAGAAAGAAGCATTAAAATTGAAAATCGTTTCTGAGAGTTCTCGTATTATTGATAACTATTAACAGGGACGAGCAGAGGGTTGCCTCAGCCCCCCTCTAAAGTCGGACCCCGAAAATTTATACAAAATGTATTTCATCCAGTAATTTTTTTGAAACAAGAATTAACTGTAGTTGAATTATACTTCACTTTATAATAAATTAATAATTAATGATATTAAAAAACATGCAGAACTTTAGTTGGAAATAAGGGGACCCCGTGGATCTACTGCCTAAGCCTATAAGCATGCCCTGCGGCATGCTGTATATCTGCAAGCCTCTCTTCATTGAGCCTGGAATCTTCCCACTGCCTTGCCCATACATTTACGAATCTGTAATAGTTGTCAAAAGTGACTTACTTAACGGTGGGAACATATACTGATATTTATAATTACGACACACGTTGTAGAAATCACGTTCATCAAGGGTAAGTATGAACATCTCACTAACAGAAATCCACAAACCATACATGTACGATACTTTACAAAGCATTAACAAATGACATTAAACAATTGAAGTCGGTTCACAAATTTAAGTTAAAAATATTTTCTGCTGCGTAAGTGTTTCTATACAATTAGACACTACACTGATTATAAAAAAATAAATAATATTTATTTTAACAAAACAGTGATATATTGAATTAGTTTAAATTTCATTGTATATATTTTTTAAAAAGAATTAATATGTTTGTAACAAATAATGATCTTCAGCATGCGGGTCAATGACCCCCATCTCGATCAGGTTTTTGTCCAGTTTCCCTGATCCATAGAGCAAATGCTGAGATGACCCCTTGCTTTGCTTCTGGGCGTAAATGTAGCTTCACTATGCGCACGTGTTGTTGAACTCTCCTTTTGCTTGTAATGGTAAGAGTAGAGGTAAGGGCGAGTTGCTATTTTGTTACCAATGCAGAAAAATCATACTTACAATTCGTTTACCGATGCAAATAAGTTTTCTATAACCCGGGAGCGTAAATGTCAATTTTTTTCCAAATATTGCTAATTTCGCACTTTTTTAAAATTTATTTTTATTTATTTATTTTAAACATTTACTCATCTTTCAACTATTTATAGTTAAAATGACAGGAAGAGATTCTAGAACTCAAGAAAACGTGCGCAGATGATCTACCCTCCACTACGTCACAGAGTTTTTACTGCTTTTTGACTAAATAAATCTAAATTTAAAACCTAAATTATTTTGGTGCCCCTGGCTATTACGTAATTTTACATTGTACATTCTACCCTACTAACACTACAGCCGTTCGTTTAAGTGAACTCGTAGAACTCAAACAATATATGAAGCTAGAAATTACGCGAAATTATTTTGAGAAAAAAAAGGGTCAATCAAATGATTTAAACAATATTGAGCAATAGATTGCGTTAAGGACATCTCTAGCATTGATATCAGCAGAATAGAACGCGTTAACACTTTGGGAGCTACAAGAGCACACATTTTCTCGAATAATTGGAAACAAAATTGTGGTAGTGAAATACTGCAATTTCTGCCCTATCGACACCTCAGCTTTAACTTAGAAAAGTTCAATTCAATAAATTCAAACACGAGCCTATGCCACTTATCTGCATTTATTTCGAAAGGCAGGAACAGTAGTCATTTCTTACTTTTACAAACGATACAAATATGAATTTATTTAACTTTTACAGTATTTGCAGCACATTATACAGAAAGGCAAGAATAATTTCACATTATATCGAAGTGAACTTGCAAATTTTTAATACCATTATCAACTGTAATTTAAAAAAAAATAAACGAACTGTATTTGTTAGTTCTATGTTAAATCTATTACCATCCTTAAATCTATTTTCTTCCATAAGAACATTATGTTCATCATACGATCACCACGACCGAAAGCATGAGAAGAATTCGAAACCGCAGGGTTGCCATTTTGCGAACTAACAGCGAGTCCAAAGAAGCTCCCGAAATTCGAATTTTTAATATCAATATTTTTTTCAATTTTCGAAAATTCAGAGAATTTGACTAAAATAGGATCATCACTTGCGCCACCGTTCTATCCTACATACCAGGAAAAATTTGGAGCCGTTTTTTGGGAAAATGGTTGTTAAAATTGTTTCAAAAACGCCTACGTTTTACTACTCATATTTTTGAAATATTGAACATGTATATATGAAGTATTGCAGTTGTAGGAACACGCCGAAAAAATGTTGAACCTTGACAATTTTAGAAAATGCAAGGAGACAACGACCTACGTCATTTCGCTTTGCGACTTCTGCTCTATCAGAAGGGAAAAATTAGAGAAAATGTTTTGAACCATTTTTGAAAAAATTTTGAAAATGTTGAGATTTCTTGTACAGTACCCCTCCAACATCAAATTATCCGTTTCAAATTCAATGGGACCGCGACGACACTAGTCGGATCGATCAGGGAATATCGATTTAGGTGAAAATCCTACTTACAGTTAAGCTGCTAGCGTTGTTCACAGACGTTTTGCCGTCAATCGATTTTTCGGTTCAAGGACCTATCAAGCGTGGATTCTGATGGAGGAATTTCGATTGGAGGAAGTAATTTTCTACATACACAGGGACAATATTTATTAACTTTTTCGTTAACAGGGCCAGGCCCTTCTTTGTCGAATATTTGCCGTTTTCCCAGCAGGAGAAAGAATTTTTGCAATTTTCGAAAGATCAGAGGTATTAATGAAAATCGGACATACGTCATATTAGCGAACTTTTTTGCATTCGAACAAACTGAAGAAAGAAATTGGACTTATTTTTAGAAAATATTGTTCATGTATTTTTTTCCCTTTTCCGCTCTATACAATAATATATACTTCGATTTAAACACACCGGCACTTCAAAGTCGCAAGCTGGTTGCGGAGGGTGATTCTGACATCTAATCGGGAGCTTAGAAAGTCGTAAGACATATTTTTTGGAGGTTTCGATAGGGTTCCTCTCTTCTTCCAGTTCGTGACCTTCAAGTGCCAATATGTTTAAGTCGGAGTATAGAAGGTAAACTATTGGGAACACCAATGAGATCACTTCATCACCAATGAAGTAGGAAAGGCTCCGGCAGAATTGGAATAATGTAGACTTTAGACCAAGGTCTAAACTGTACGTAATGCCGTAGGAATTAAGTAGAATAATTGTTTTATTAGTACTTCTTTTCGGTTAGTTAAGTAAATATGCACATAAATTCTATGAAAAATCGATTATTATTATTATTATTATTATTATTATTATTATTATTATTATTATTATTATTATTATTATTTAATTGCACGCGTGCAATTAAAATTCACATCTACCAATCAGCAGTCCCGGTTTAGCCTAGTAGCACTTGTAGCACGAGCTACGGTCCCCGCGCTTTCTGAAGAACAAATCTTACTAATGAAGAAAAAAAGTTTTTCCGTAATGAAATTTGTGAACTTACGGTAAAAAATACTAAAACAATAGTATATAAACTATAAAGTAAATAATGTTAAACAATATGTCGTACGACTGTTTGCAGGTTTGGGCTGCAATTAATTTAGTTTATGTTCAAATGAAAAATTATTCAGATCGAAAATCAGGTCCCCTAATTTCGAGTAATTAATAAAGTATCATTTATTACATCAGTCAGTTCAGTTTTGGAATTCTGACGAAATTAACATATGACAATCATTAAAATGAGAATCAATGGGATTATCCGAAAAATTCAAAGTTGAAAGTTTTTTGGTTATTATTGACAGTCTGCTCGCTGCTTAATCGCAGAGACAAATAACATATAACAAATTGAGGAACCCGTACCCCGATGATTTGGAAAGTGTACTAAGTGAAGAAATGATTTAATTCAGTGAACTTTTGAAAACAGACTTAGCAAAAACTCGGAAAATCAGGAAGACCTTAATGAATTGAAATTGTACAAGATTATTCAAGAAAATTGTCTAGGATCTTGTCTTCCCAATGTCGAAAGTGTTTTGAGAATTTACCTTTCCTTGATGGTAACAAACTGTAGTGACGAACGTTCTTTTTCCAAACTGAAGCATATTAAGAGTGAAATAAGAGCCAGTATGGGCTAAACAAGACTGAACAACCTTTCTCTGATAAGTATCGAACACGAACAGCTCAAAAAGAATGATACAGAAAGAATAATTGAGGAGTTTTCTACTGCGAAATTGCGTTAACGTTTGATTAGGTAAAATAACAAAGTTCAATTAAAATTAAAAATTATTCACACCATTTTATTAAATGTTTATAATTTAATATTTTGAAAAATTAATATATTTTAATTTTTAATTGCAATATTCAAATATTTTGTATCGACGAGACAAATTTGACTTGTTCTTGTTTATATCTGTTATATATCATCGCATAACACTTCAAATATGGATTATTTTGAATAAAGTTATTGTTTTCAAACTGTAAGTAATAATAAATAAAAATAATTTTTGTTTAAACTGTATTATGAATTATTTTTGAAGACTTCAAAATCATATACATCTATTATAAAATGTACAAATGTCCCAATATTGACCTACACTGAGAAACAAGGAACCAACCATGCGCATTGTTACTATTCGGCCAACGAAGATCACATGGTTGGTCCAACAGAGATCGCATGGTTGGTTTAACAAAGATCATGAAATGTAATGTAACATTAATCAGCATCCATGCGATCAACCATGCGATCTTCGTTGGCCGAATAGTAACAATGCACATGGTTGGTCCAACAAACTACTGGTAACTGGATTCAAGTATATATGTATAATATATATATATAATTATATTAATATATATAATAGTATATATTATAAATATATATATATATATATATATAATATATATTATATATATATTATATATATATACAGTATGATACTCAAACATTAGATTAACAAAGCTACATTTCCTAAGGATGATTTAAAAAAAAAAGTATCGCGAAATAGTAAGGTAAAACTTAATCTATTCAATATTCCAATGCGCTTAACTTATGGCCTTTAAAAAATAGAAAAAATAATAACAGGGCCCCGCAACACCATGGATAAAAGGTCTTTCAGCCCCGCTCTTGTATAAAACCCGGCCCTGCCAATCAGAATTTTGAAAAAGAGCGATCAAAATCATATTAATTAAGTCACTAGTAACTCAGCTGTGGCCAAAAAGTATTTCCAGGTTCAGCCTGTTATTAGAAACATTTGAAAAAAATAATACAGTAACAGATTACATACTCCATTAACTACAATAATCCAATTAATGAACAAAATGAACACAAACAAACTATAGCGTGACAGTAAACATTCTGGATTTGACACTTGCACTGACGAACAGGAAACCAAAAACATAAAATCAATAACATGATATAATTATGCTTGAACAACATTTGGTATAACAAATGTAAAAAATATTACACAATAGTAGCATATTACAAATGTAAAAAACATAATAAACGTCAGTATTGTCTCCACAGCAAAACCTGAAGTCCAGAAGGACTAATCCTTTATTTCCTTTTCCAATTTTTATAAATGTGCTATTCTCTCTCACCCTGTCTTAACTTTTTGTTGGAATAATGTTTTCATGCCTCTGTCAGCTTCTAATATTTCATCAGCAAATTTTCAAAAATCATTGCCATTGCAAACATTTCCTCAAACAAAACACAATGCAAAACTCCACTAAAAAATAGATATGTTCTCAGAAGCACTATGACGATTGTCATCAAAGTATGCCCTCAAATGTAAAGACATGAATGAATTTTTTTAAAATTTTTTAATTATTTTCTTAAATGGAAAACAAAAAAGAAGAATATTGAATGCTAACATGTTGGATAAAGAAGTAAACTGCACTCGTGGAAAAAAATAAAGCAAAACTATGCCTCCTACCATCACTGTCTTTCTTGAAACATACCACTCTTTGCAATTGGGTATCCCTCTTATCAACTCCGCATCCGTTTAATTACTATTCAAGTCCAATAGGATGAACAGCTTTTGTTGCATCACACCACTGTAATCATTTTATAATCATGGTAAAAATACAATAAGAATCACATCATAAATTTCTTTTCCATTAATAGGACAAACATTAGTAAAATTACATTGTAAATTGTCAAGATTACATTTGAACTTACTGTAACGTAATTAGCAGCGTTGCCCTCATGGCATTCTATTGCGGGACGCTTGGGCGGTATTGTCTCGCCACAGAAGTAGGGTTTTTCCGTAAAGGGAAGAACGCGGGAGACGGGAGACACCAAACGGCTTTGACGTGTCTTCGCGCGCTTATAGAAGCTTTTCACTGTTATAACAAGCGAGGGGTGGGCGTGACGTAAGTTCACACGTGGGGCCTCGCCTAATATAACAGAGTGTACGGAGCCAGTAGGCCAGGTTCTGGAGACGCGTGGTGATAAAACCTCGTTCGCGTGTGGCACAAAACTTGGCCCCACGACGGTTTGCATAGCGAGCCAGGCTCGCAGACGGCTTGGAGTCATAGTTGACGAAGCCCTGCGGACTTTATGTCCTTTGCGTGACTGCGGTTCACGGCGGGAGCGATGCTGTGTGCGTGCTCCGAGCGTGAAGAGTGCGCTTGAGTGCCCACGATTCGCGCCGATTCTCAATCGGATAAAGATCGCTCCCTCCTGCCCGATGCGAGGCCAACCAGCCGTTAGGTGCGCCAGAACGGACTTTGTTCTGTCCCAGCGTGACATCCGGTCACGGAAAAGCATTAGTTTGTGCGCCGCTTCAGAAAGTAGGAGGTGCGAATGCCACAATTCAAAACCATCTTCAATCGGGTTTTGGATCGCTCCCGCGATCAGGGGATAGTAAGGTCTTCTATCAGAAGCTAGGGTTGTAAGTGATATTAAGGTATATATTGTTTTGTTTTCATTGTTAATAAATATAGTTGTTATACGAAAGCTCTGTGTCTGTGGTCGCTGTGAGTATCCATGACGTCACACTACATACCTTATCAGAGCCGTATATGAGACTCACACCTGTTGCAAAATGCAAAAGTCCAATCACCAACATAATACATAGGCGGACACCAACATCTGGAACATTATATTATTATTCATGATATTAACATTACATTATTATTTCTTTATATCAACAGAACATTAGACAACAAAAGTTGTTGATGCTTTTAGTTTATTATCTATTATTGTTATAAATGATTAACTATTACATTTTTTCTCTACTGTTGCTTTTGATAAAACCTAATCGTACTTACACAAAAAAATAAGAGAGAAAAGTTTAGTTACTGTTAAGTCTCTAATGTAATCTACGACAACAAATATTCATCTTTACACACAAAAGAAATAAATACAGTTCCATGATCATAACACTATTTAATTTACAAGTCCAATATTTATAGATTTTAATGATACACGTGTGATTGTATTTAAATTGCTTTCTTACTTGAGTATGTATTTCCAAACAAGTCTCCTCCTCCGAAAATTAATGAAAAAAGAGAAGCCAAAAAGGCACCCAATCCATGAAACTGCAAAACAACAATAACAATAATAACAATAATAATAACAATAATAATAACAATAATAATAATAATAATAATAATAATAATAATAATAATAATAATAATAATAATAATAATAAATGCAATGATATAGGAGGATAGCCGAGATCGCTAAGGCAGTAGTCCCGTAGCGATCTCGAACCGAAAGATCGCGGATTGTGATTGTGAGCGTTGACTCACTAAACATCGTTGTTGCCCAACATCGATGTTAATACGTCAACCAAAACCCATCAGTGTTTTAATGCTTGCATTTTTAACGTGTGCGATTTGCAACAAATTAACGCATGTAATTTGGCAGTGGCCGAGTATATTTATTTTTAATTAAAATTGGACTGAAAGCAAAGTTACAAAATGTCTTTCCTTGTGCAAAATAGGAGGAAAGATGAGGGTAAAATATAGATGTCAGAATCATCTCGGGCGAGGCATAGCCTGCTCCTTTAAAGTAATTAAAACCGCGTTCATTTGCTCCAAAACATATAAACTGATATTCTTTTATATTTTATCTCTCACAAATTTATGATAATGAGATTTTTCATTCACAAACACATATAGAAAACGTAAAAACACTGAGCGCAAAACATCAATGTAAAAACACATCTACTTCAATACTCCGATTTTGAAACATCGATATTTTTATTGACACATCGACGTTGATGTGGTATCTCCAACTCACGGTAGTCAAGGTGCCGATGATGATGCATCCGGCCTGCAGAGAGCAGCTGCAGCAGCACTTGTTCAGGCCCTTCCGCCGTCTGGGGAATTGCTCCACCTCCAGGGGCTCCTGGATCAGCACACCCATGGTCACCTGCGAGAGAATGAATGAATGAATGAATTAATGACTGATTATGTGATAAGTTCACTATAACCTGAGTCGACTGTACGAGTTAAGTCAGTGGTCCCGTTTCACTTACATCACGTATATAGTATGCATGTAGTATATATATGTATGTGTATTACACACACACACGCACACACACACACACACACACATATATATATATATATATATATATATATATATATATATATATACATGTATATAATGTGTATATAGTACATTATTTGTTTGTTGGTTGGTTTGATCGTGCTTAATGCGCTGCCGTACCGTTCATCTGCTTGCGTTAAAACTTTGTCAACTTATTTCTTGCACTTATGGGAAGAATATAGGTATAGTAGAATGGGAATGTGCTTATGCTTGCGCACGTAGACGCGCGTTGATGATGATTTCATGCTGGCTCCAGTGCCCGTGAACAGGGCGCTCTACGCAACTGCGTTCTACAACTACGCAACCCGCCGTAATCTGAAGTACGGTTGTTAAGACGTCTTCATTGCGTATTCTTCCCCTTCGACACACACACGCGCGCGCACAAACACACACACACACACACACAAAAAGAGAGAGAGAAAGAGAGAGAGAAAGAGAGAGAGAAAGAGAGAGAGAAAGAGAGAGAAAGAGAGAGAGAGAGAGAGAGAGAGAGAGAGAGAGAGAGACGGAACCACACTCGCGAGAAAGTCTTTCGTCTACTGAAATTTTTTGCAGAGTTTAGAGTAAAACATGATTACCAACACGTGACCAGTAGCATGTGAAGTGTAATACATTGCAATAGGAAAGCATTGCCGGGTCCGCTAGTTACCAATAAGAATAAGAAGCTTGGGTTAGAGTGAACCTGCACCTCGGTTACAGTGAACATAAGAAATACAACGACCTGAAAATTAATTCTCTCCTGGAAATGAGTATATTACCTCACATCCACAAATTTCAACACTAGGCAGCTTGGAGGAAAATCGTTGACCAAAGGTCACAATCAAAGAAGTCTCCCATGATGTGAAGGTAGCGGACACAGAATGGGAACCTTACTGATGACTTGTACCACTTAGGGCTCACAAATTAATAGTAGACACTTAAAATGAGTGTTCTCTTAAGACAACGAATCTTATTCATGAACAGTCCTTGAGTGGATTTTTACGTGAGCGCTCATTTCTATAAGGGAGACAGCCTGCTTCCTTAAAGGCTCATTCACAATGCAAACGTAAACATAAGCATAACGCATAGACTTAAACATTAACATAAGAGATAGACTAAAGTGAGCAACTAGTTTCTATTGGCTGTGAGACATTCTAGTTTACTGTTGGTTGATTGTGGGAATCGATTTCGAGGTATCGACTGTATCCATGGCGCATATGGCGTTAGTTCTTCTATTGACTTCACTCCTATTTCGATTCTCGATTTTGAGTTACCGTTCTGTGATTGGTTCATTTCTTATGTCTTACTTAAGCATAAGCACAAAAGCTTGAAGCTTGCAAGCTTTTCAGTTAACTTCTTACGTGTTATGTTTATGCGAACGCATTGAGAGTGGGTCCGCTTATGGATGTAGTACTAACTTTTGTTAACGCCATGCTTATGTTTATGTTTGCGTCGTCATTCGTAACCAGTTTAGGTTATATTCGTATCCTCAGTCGCATAGTCATTCGTAACCTGTTTAGGTTATTCTCGTATCCTTGTGCGGCGCTCCCCGACCGTTCTATTAGTTGCATTGGCGCTTGTATTCGTTTTCTTAGAAGTTAGTAAAAAATTGTAATAGTTAAAAAGCTATTTGGAAAACGTTTGATTGAAAACGCATTAGTTCGCATAATTAGCATTTTTAGCGTTAGTTCGCGTAATTAGCGTTTTATGGAAAACGCAATAGATCGCAGTAGTAGCAAGAGTACGCATAATATTTTGAGTTTTATACCCGTGCGTTTGACTTTTATAATACATCGTGCGTAATACAAAAGCTTTTTTTAGTGAAGGAAGCCATTGGAAATGTAGATTCGGTCCTTACAAAAAGTATTTCCAAATATATTTTCTACCTTTATTGATATCCTCTGGAGTAACTTGCAGAACAATATTGTCTATTTCTTTTTCTGACGCATCTCCAAACCTATTCGTCAGTGCCTTCAGTTAACAACTGTTTGAATGAGACAATGGAATAGTGCGCTTTATCGCAAATCGACATCGATCGCTACATCCCGCCTCCTAAGTCAGATAATGATTGGGCACTAACGAGGTAAAAATTAAAATCGATAAAGAAAATTGATATTTTTTGTTGAATCACTGCTCTGATTTGTTAATATCGTAAGCATTCTTAAACATTGTTCGTCTTAATTTCACGGTATGAATAGTCGATATTTTATGACACCATAGGGGCACGGCAACCCTGAATTCAACCTTCTCAGAGTCGGGTTTCGTATTAACTACGAAGAGTGATGATAAGGGGGCGGATTTTGAAGACCCAAAACATTGCCGAAATTGATCAATAAAATGCTTTAAAAATGCCGTAAAAAACAAAAAAAAAAAAAATGACGTAAAAACTTGATCACAACCACTTCAGATGAACATCTCAAGCTGTTGGGTATGTTATTGATGTAATCGAGGCTTCATATTTTTGTTCAAGTGAACTCAGCTTGCAAACTTTGGGTTTGGATTGTTTTTTGAAAAGAAAAGCTCTGCGTTTATTCATCGCAAAATCGGCCGAACTGACAATGGCGCCAATAAGCGTCACAGGCACCTTAGGATTACATGCTACTTACAAAGGCAGACATTACAATATATGAGCGAAGAAATCGAATACGCCACTCAGGAATTCTGTTGTGCATATTTGTTGCACCTCGTAAATATTGTTTAAAGCACCTACTATTAAAATGGTATTAAAATTGATGAAATCGTCTAAAATTGCAGTACAAATGACGTATAAAGATAAAAAATGACTTGTTAGTCAAACTCGACGAAAAATGTAATAGAAAAGGAGTGACAAAAAAGAGCCATTTCGTTTCGTCACAACATAAAAATGAATTTCTTTACTAAAATGCATTGTTCTGAAGTGCAGAGAAAATAAATGACGTGTCATTAAAATCCACCCTCTAGTGACGATAAATAATGCTGTCATCGGAATTAAATCGTTTATCGCAGAGCTTTCGTGGAAAGACACCGTAGAAGGTGCCATACAAACTAAGTAGCCTACGTTGCTGCAGTGAATCTCCTACGTTCCTGACTGTTGGCAACGTCAGCAGAATTCTTACCGCGGCCTTTCTGTGCGCACTATTTTTTTATAGGGATTACGAACAGATACGAATTTGACTGATTCTGTGCATCTGGTTTTTTATCTAATATTTCCTTTTTACTTTCTCACCCTTACTTCTTAAGAAGAGAAAGTACTGTAATCGTTCGTTGGAAAACGGCGAATTTTCGGTGGAAAAAACTCTCATTCTCTGGCTCTTGTAACGAAAAAGAGTATAAATCCTGTTCCCTATGTATAGTTAATTACTTCTTTTAATACGTTTTCTCCAAAATTGATATTACCCGATCTATCTCAATGAACTCGAGTTTGAAGCGGATCTTTTGATTTTTGAGGGTATTTTACAAAAGCCTCAACATTTCCAATTTTTGTTTAATGGCTCCAATTTTTTTGATTAAACGTTGTGCTTGTTTAGTGCAAACGACGCTTACGAAAATTGTGCAGGTCTCGATTTCGTTAAAATTCCTGAACTTATCGAAAACTGCCGAAGTTTATTTTTTGGGGCGGCTTCCTCTGACTACAATATTAGATATTTTTTCATGTATGAAATCTGTTATTTAAAGACATATCTTGAACTAAGGTCATGAACAAAATTTGAGACCATAAGTCGTTTACGCGTAACTTTGCGTGAACTATAGGCAATATTTTTTCCCTCAAAAATGACTCCAATTCTTTTCCATTTTCTCCTCGTGTGTATCAAAAAACGGTAAAAAAAATGTACTAGAATCGATCTAGAACTCTTATGATTTCGAAAATCGCAAAATGTTAATATTTGAAAACAACAAAATTGAAGATTTATCAGATCTAAAAAAGCAGGTGTTTAAAAAGGTCACGTACACTTTTTCAAACAACGAGTAGTTTTTAGCTTAATTTGTGCTTTAAAGTAATGCAATTTATAAAAAAAACATTTTCACAAAAACGCTCAAAAAGTTTCAGATTTTTCCACGACTAGAAGAAGGAACGCTTAAAAGAATAGTGTAGGTCTCATCTTCGTTTAACTCCCTGAATTTTCGAAAAAAATTGTAAATTTAGAAATAATGCGAGAAGGCATATACGGTTGAGCATCACTAGTTTGTTTTGGAATTTGATGTTCTGATGTTGCTATGTTCAAATACCCGCCCAAATAAATCTCGTGGGTATTTAAAACTGCCAACGGTTTCCGAGTGTTAACGCTGTTTATCTATCACATGCGTCTTTAACCTTTATTAACATGCAACCCTAAAAGTTTGTTAAGTGCACTTGTTACCTATACGTTAAGTAATTTAACAACCCTAGCAGCAGGTTTTAACATCCTTAGTAACCTAAATAAACAACCAGCCATTCATCGCAAGTCAACATTATTACGAAAAAAACACATGGTAATTTACAAGACAAATAGTAATCAAAGATACGCATATTTTTGGGGATATTCATTATTAATTATAATGTTATTAAATGTGCACCATGGTCTGGCCGTGCGTGTTGGTGTTAAGTGGAACAAGACGTCTGGGATCTTTAATCGCTTGACACAAGCAACATTCTGAACCAGCGTTGCCAGACGTACCAGGAACCTGTTTTTTTTACCAGGGTGTTTAATGAAGTCACCATGTACTAAGATGAAAACATCCTGGTACCAGGATTTTACGTCGGCTTCTAGAATTCTCCAAACAGCTGCTGCATTCGAGTGAAAGGTCAATTCGACAGCGCTAAATTCAGTCTAGCTAGCGAGGAGAACCCGATGTGTGTCGCGTCAAGAAGTGAGTGTGGGCGC